AAGGGGCCCTGCAGTCCCAGCCTCCGAGCTTAGTGCGTCCTGGGGCTGGGACCAGTTGTCAGCCCCGGAAATGCCCCGGACCCAGTCCCTCCCAGCCCCGGAAGTGTTCCCGTCCCTCCCTGCCACCCCCGGAAGTGCCCTATCTCACCCCCATAATATCCCACCCCTGCTAATGCTGGAAGCTCACTCCCCAACCTGCCACTCTCAGAGCTGCGCCCGGCCACCCCCGAAGCCGACCAGTGCCCCATACCTAAGAGATGCCGTGTGTCCGCCCCTGCCTTGGTAATTTGACATCCCTGGAAATTACCCCACCCACTAACCTGCCATTCCTGGAAAAACCAATGACTAACCACTATCCTGGTAATCTGACATGTTTGGAAAATGCATCATGCTCCACTCACCCTGATAATCTGCTATCTCGATAAAATATCCTGCACCCACTTGCAAGGCCTGGAAATTTTCCACTCTCACCACCTTCCTGCCATGGAAACCTGCTATAGGGAAATGCCCCTAACATGTTACTATTTTGATATCCGGATTTCTCTAAGAAATTCCCAGTACCCACTTTCACCAGAGGTACCTACTAGCATATTCTAGTGGATAGCTTACTGGACTGGGAGTCACAAAATCTGTGTCCTGTATGTAACTCAGCTATTGTCCTGTGCTGGGATGTTGGGCAAGTCACTTCAATTCTCTGCAGTGCAGTTGCTCCTCACATTTGATTTATCTTGTCTAGATTCCTGTTTGCAAGAAAAACTGTTTCTCACTATGTGGTTTTTCAGTGCCTTCCACAATGAAACCCTTATTTTATTTGGGGGTTTCTAGGAACCACTGTAGTATAAATAATAATAGTTGGAATTGAATATTTATAAATAATTGGTGGAATCAGGCACAATGATCTGTTATTGCTCAGAAATGCTTTTTTTTAAAAAAAAACTCCCCATCTGTTGCTGCAGTAAATTGCCTGTCTTGGGGAATAACCTTTCATCCTCAAGAAATACCATGTTGCAGTGATCACTGATAAGGAATGATAAACAGGGAAAACAATGCTTCATGCCTCACCTAACAAAATAACAGCCAAACAACTAAAATGCACATTTTGATTCATCCAGCAGTTCCTTTCTGCTGGTTGAAAGAGATGCTTCATCTCTGGATTGTTGCCTTTGTTCTTGGTGCATTTATTTTTCTTAAATTGTAAAAAAATCATATTGCCAAATATAGCTAGGTAAGAAACCTGCCCCTAAATACAGTGATCCACGCTCTTATAATATCGCTATATGTACTGACCCTGCTGCCTGTATTGACACCATTGATTTCAGTGAATTTCTTGTGGTTGCCAGGCAACGCTGCATGATTGTAGTATTGTGAGTTTAGGTCTGTAAAACCAGCAAAGACAAAAATATCTCCTGATTCTAAGGCCTTATGTGAATTAAAATGTTAAATGTTGTAGAGATTATTGAACTCCAGGGCTACGTCTAGACTGGCATGATTTTCTGCAAATGCTTTTAATGGAAAAGTTTTTCTGTTAAAAGCATTTGCAGAAAAGAGCGTCTAGATTGGCACGGAAGCTTTTCCGCAAAAGCACTTTTTGCGGAAAAGCGTCTGTGCCAATCTAGACGCGGGTTTGCGCAAGAAAGCCCCAATCGCCATTTTCGCCATCAGGGCTTTTTTGCGCAAAACAATACCGCGTTGTCTACACTGGCCCTCTTGCGCAAAAGCATTTGCGCAAGAGGGCTTTTGCCCGAACATGAACAGCATAGTATTTCTGCAAGAACACTGACAATCTTACATGAGATCGTCAGTGTTCTTGCGGAAATTCAAGCGACCAGTGTAGATAGCTGGCAAGTTTTTCCACAAAAGCAGCTGCTTTTGTGGAAAAACTTGTCAGTCTAGACGCAGCCCAGAGCTACTCAACTTCAGAAGCTCTGGGGACCACAATGATACTCACAGCACATGCTGAGGACTACAGTTTAATTGTGATTGTATATATATGCAAATAACTTTTCACACTGGTGGGTATGAATACAATTAAGGCAAGACTACACAACATGCAGACCCCATTTAAGTCAGTTCTGCTGATATTAATAAAATGCATTATTTACCCAATTTCCACCCATATGACAGCACTTTTTAAAAGAAAATTGTATACCATTGTTTTGGGTGTTTAGCTTGAAGCTTTAGGTTGTGCATTTCATTAAGTGATTTTTCTCAGAAAAAGTTTCCAAGCCAGAGCACTCCAACCTACAGCAGGTGGGGAGCTGGGCAAGTCAGGACGGACTCGAGAGGTAAAAAAGGACAGGTGCCCAGGAGCTCCGTCGTGAATTCCCAGCAGGGCTGATGTCTCCACGCGGGAGTCCATCACTCCATATGGGATGAAGGCAGGGCTGCCTGGCTGCGGCACCAGACCCAAACATAGAGGCTGTGTCTAGACTGCATCCCTTTTTCGTAAAAGGGATACAAATTAGACATATCGCAATTGCAAATGAAGTGGGGATTTAAATCTCCCCCGCTTCATTAGCATATAAATGGCTGCCGCTTTTTTCCGGCCCGGAGCTTTGCCGGAAAAAAGCGCCAGTCTAGACGCGGATCTTTTGGAAAATAAAGCCTTTTCCGGAAGATCCCTTATCCCTCTTAAAATGAGGGACAAGGGATCTTTCGGAAAAGGCTTTATTTTCCGAAAGAGAGCCGGCAAAGCTCCGAGCCGGAAAAAAGCGGCAGCCATTTTTATGCTAATGAAGCGGGGGAGATTTAAATCCCCGCTTCATTTGCAATTGCGATATGTCTAATTTGCATCCCTTTTATGAAAAAGGGATGCAGTCTAGACACAGCCAGACAGTGTGAGCCAGTCAGCAACTTGCAGGCTCTGTCCACAAAGCTAAGCAGCCAGCACTTCTGACAATGTCCTGGCACCTCCTTCCTGGGGGCTAGAAACGCTGACACCCTGTACCTGTCTGTTCCAGCCAGCAGATCCACTTGGGTCTTTCAGTGCTCACCACGCCTGGGAGATGCCTCACCATTATGGAGTGTCTTCCCAGTGGAAGCCATGTTCAAAGGATCCCACCTGCAGGCAGCAAGCATGTTGAGCCCTGTGTAAACCCAAACCATACCGCAGGCCAAAAACAAATGGGCCACGAGCCCATTTCAGTTCAGTAGCCCTGCTGTAGACCAACCTAAAATCCAGTCCATATGTGCTTTGAGTTTTGATGCTGTTTGTAGTACAACAGCTTATTTTGTATTTTTTCAAGAAAAACTTAATTTCTATAACTTTTTCTTATACCTTTTTGAGCAAAAGCTCATAAAACTGTGTTGTAGTCTTTACTATATTTAATTCAGGATATTTGTTTTACTAAATACTCCAGGAATGTTAGAAACTTTTAGGGTGACTTTAGTTGATTAGTTGTAATGGGGAATAAGTAACAAGTAGTAACTTTCTTAATTTACCATTCTGTGTTTTGGTTGGTTTTTCACTGTAAAAGAAAAAATCTAAGATTTTAATTAAAAAATAATTTAAAGGAATCTTTCTAATATACATCTTCAGCCATAATCAAAGAATCTTTGTTCTGCTTTCCTAAATTACACTCAACAAACTTTTTTTGATAGTACAGATTTTTGGGAAGAAATGGGATAATGGTCACTAAATCACTGAATTTAACTTTATTTTGTAGGATTTTTGAAAATTAATTTTTGGGATTCAGAAAAGAAGAAAAGTAGGTTGCAGAAATGTCTAAGATTGATAAGATGAGCATCCTTGGAGTGAGGAGTTTCGGGGTGGAGGACAAAGACAAGCAAGTTATCACTTTCTTTAGTCCTTTAACCATTTTGGTGGGACCAAATGGTGCAGGAAAAACGGTAAGACTTTTGTACAGTGCAAACAGGCTTCCTGTCATTATAAATAATTACAAACTCATACAAATGAGTGATTGTTTACATGAATTTATAATTATTGAAATTATAAAACCTAAACAGTTTGCATATTGTAACTATGATGGTTCCTTCCCCCCATGCTTTATGTAAAGTGGCTTATGAATAATATGCATAACTCAGAGATGCTTTGGACAAAATATTTCATGTAACCTTATACATTTTAATGTTAGAGTTGGATCTGTATATTCTATTTGGGTGCATGTATTGTTCTTGTATGAAAAGTTAGAAATATGAAGTATGAGACTGTTTATAGTTTTAAATATGCTAATATGTTACTGGTGCTGGCCCCAAGCCTTAACAACGTGGTGATCAATGTGATGACTTGTAAACAGCCTTGTTTGCCCTAAGCAGTGGTTGGTCCTCGGAAAACATGACCATGGCACCTGGTACTAAATTCAATTTTGACCCTGATATTTTTCCATGGAAGGTGGGATGTAGAACAAAGGGTTCCCACCTGCGGGAAGTCTATTTAAGCAATGGGAAGCTATCAGCACTTTTTCTTCAGCTAGCTTGGAAAACCCCAAAAGGATAAAAAGAGAGCTGGAGACCCAAGTCAGGGTAAAAGAGTTTGTCTCTGACTTGAAGACTATGCCTGAAATCAGAACGGTTATTTAGGGTAAGAATTTGCTCACAAAATGTTTTTTAGTGCATTAGAACTAGCTATGTGCTTTCTTTTTATTTTAATTTAGTAATTTACTTTGATCTGCCAGCTCTGGCACATGGTCAGGGCAGATGGCGTGGTGGCTGCCCCTCTGCCCCCACCCTAGCCACAGTCCCCAGTCATGGGGAAGTTGGTGGCAATTGCCCAGCTGCTTCCTTGACAGGCTGTCACGGGGTAGAGGTAGAAACTCAAACCCACTTACAACAACTAAAATCCTTCTGTTTATATTTAATAAAAACAAATTTGTTTATTATCAGGCCCGGTGTAAATGTTACCTGGTGGGGAATGACCAGTATGCAAATCTCTTTCATTGATAAAGAGGGCAAATATTCTCATGAGCTTTCCCTGTATAACTTTTACACACAGACAGATGGATTTATTTGGGGGTTTGATCCCTTTTGTGGGTCGGTTTCCTGGGTGCTGTGCCTTAAAACTGCATCCTCCCTAGAGCTGAAGTAGTTCAGTGTCTGCATTGCTTTTCAGCGGGGCAGTAATCCCAACTCTGATTTGTCTGGGGAAGACTAGAGAGCAAAAAGGAGGGTATCAGTGGTATGGTCAGCATACCGGGGAATAATCCCAAGCGGACTTCTGTGACTGCATCTCGTCACAGTGACCTTTTCATAATTTTTGCTCCACTTTCAGCCTTGCATTTTGCAACAATTTCTGTGTGGGCTCAGGTTTCTGTCTGCATAGTGCTCCTTGAAAGGTCAGAGCCTTAGTTGTTCTGCTGCTGTGGTCACCTGCCAATCAATTGCGGGGGCACTGCCAGTTGATCACGAGGCAGTGTTCTCTGCCCCTGCTTGTTTCCCCATGTCCCCAGCGAGGCGCCTGCACTAGCACTACAGCCTCTCACAAAAATAGAGCTAGTTCTGGCTTCCGACGGCATGAGAGGGAAGTCCTGAGGCTCCATGCTGGATCCAACTCTGAATCTGGATTAGAACTGTGGGACTTCCCTCCCGCCATGCCACAGGAAAGAAGGAAGACAGCACGGGGAAGGAAGACAAGAAAGCGCACGTTTCTCCCCTGCCCACAACAGCGCACGCACACTTCTTTGTCTTCCCTGTGCTCCTGCAAGGTAGGGGGAGGGGCAGTAGTTAAGATGGCAGCACAGGAACCAGAGCAGCTGGATTTCTTTAAGGAGCAGCACGTGCACTCTTCTAGCGCTGCCTACAGATCCTTCCCCAGAGATCCTCATCCCTAGAGACCCCCTAGGTACCAGCCAAGCTGCTTCCGCCCCCTCTTCCCTGGCCAGACCCCCACCCACTAACACTGTGCCCCCTGGCCAGATCCCCACCAGCGCCAGACTCCCACCAGCACTGTGGCCTCAGGCCAAACCCTCACTAGCAACCTGCCTCTGCTTCCTGGCCAGACCCCCATGAGTATCTTGCTCCTGCTCCCTCCCTCTTGGCCAGACATCTACCCCCAGCTTGCTCCTATACCCTATTTTCCACCCAGATTCTGCACCCCCATCCCTATCCCACTTACTGGCAGTCCTGTCCCACACACTGGATCCCTCATTTTTGGCCCCACCTCAGAGGGTAGAGGGGCCCACAAAATCCATTAACCCTGGAACCCCAAAAGAGTTAATCTGGCCTGATGCCGTGAACCTGTCTACCCTCCTCATGGGACTGGAGTACCAGGGGAGTGAGGTGTCTCAGTTGGGACCACATTAGTGAGGCTTGGGATGTTATGGAGGGTTTTTTTGTTTGTTTGGGGTTTTTTTGCATCTCACTTATGTGTTCACCGACTGATTTTTCTGTGGGTCAGTGGCCCCTGATCCAAAACAGGTTCTCTGCCCCTCCCAGAAATAAAGACAATTTTGAAATGTTTTGTGTTGGACATAATATTTTATTTAAAAATGAAGCCTGGTCAACAAGCCCCCAATTGGGCCTTGCCTGCATCTGGCCGCAGCATCCTAGCACCCGCACCCCCACAGAACCCAACCCTGAGCCCATCATACACCTGAACTAAGGATGTAAAAGACTAGTTGACTATCCGATAAGCATTGGCTTATTGGATAGTATTTTGACTAGTCAACTAGTCAATATCCCCACCCTCCCATTGCTGCCTCTGAAACAGGAGAAGGAGTACTTAAAAGTGGCAGCAGCTGTGTAGCTGATCTGTGGATCAGCTGTGCGGCGGCTGCCCCTTTAAAATACCGCCTGTGCGCCTTTCAAAGGGGTAGCTGTGGAGCCCGGGCTCGGTTGGGGACTCCCCAGTTGGGGAAATGCTGTGGGGATCCCAGGGTCAGTTGGGGAGTCCTGGGCTCCATGGCTGCCCCTTTGAAAGGCACAGAGGCAGCAGTTTTAAAGGGGAAGCCACCTCATCGCTGATCAGCTGTGCAGTGGCTTCCCTTTTGAAACTGTCACCTCTGCCAATTTTAAATGGGCAGTGGAACCCGGGCTCAACTGGGGACTCCCCAGCTGACCCTGGTTCTGCATGGCACTTCCAGGGAACCCCAGCTGGGGAATCTCAAGCTGACCCCAGGCTCCATGGCTACCCCTTTGATTCGCCACAAAGGTGGCGTTTTAAAGGGGCAACCCGCCACACAGCTGATCCGCGAATCAGCTGTGCCATGCGCTGCCCCCTTTAAAATGCCGCCTCTGCGGATTTCAAAGGGGCAGCTGCTGTGGAGCGCGGATTCCCCAGCTGACCCCGGGCTCCCCACGGCATTTCCCCAGAGCCCAGGATCAGCTGGGGAGTCCCCAGCTAACCCCAGGTTCCTGGGAAGTGCTGTGCAGAACGCGGGATCAGCTGGGGACTCCCCAGCTTACCCCAGGCTCCTAGCAGCATGCTGTGTAGCATGGAGCCCGGGGCCAGCGGGGGACTGGGAGTCCCCCTCTGACCCTGGGCTCATGGCTTTGAAATGCACTAGGGGACTCTTTGAAATGCACTGGGGACTCTTGTGCATTTCAAAGCAGGCACGCCACCTGCATCCCAGAGTCAGGGGGACTTCCTGCTGGCACCGGGCTGTACACAGAATTCCGCATTCCTTCTTTGAAATGTACAAGAGCCCCTGCTGGGAGGAGCCTCTACTGCAAAGGAGGAATGTGGAAGTGCCTGCCTATCGACTAGTTGATGGAAATTCCATTGACTAGTCAATAAAACTGCATTTTAACATCCTTAACCTGAATCCCCTGTCCTGATCTCAGCCCCAAACTCCTACACCACCCACATCCCCAATCTTGTGCCACAGGACTCCTGCACCATCCACACACCACAAACTCGTGCCCTGAGCCCATCAGACACCCAATCCCCTCCCCCCCCACCCTGAGCCCCTCTTATACTCCAACTCAAACTCCTGCACCCCCACATCCACAAGCCTGCGGCTTGCTCCAGCAGCCCAACCCTCCATCTGACCCTAACACTCTCCAACCTGGAGCCCCTCCCCGAGCCAGCATTACCTTCTCCACCTTTTCTTGCAGCCATATTCCCTCCCACAGCTTGCACCTCTTATCCCTTCCTGCACCCAAATCCCTCCTTCCAACCCCAGAGCCCACACCTTCTGTCTCAACCCAGTGAGAGCGAGTAAGGGATTGGGACAGCAAATGATGGAGAGGAGGGGAATGGAGAGCATGGGGTCTCAAGGAAGGGGTGGGATTTTGAGGAAGGGGGATGGGGTAGATCTTGGCTTGCCCTGACATTTAAAAAGTGATCTTGGGTGTACAAAGGTTGGAGACCACTGTTCTACAGATACCTGTTTATGCCCTAGGTATTAGAGCCATAGAAGTTAGAAATGGGAATGATCTTTTTAGTGTTACTCAATGACCATTCTGTGGATTGGCGCCAGTTCCTAGGGTCTCCCTGCTATAAAATGAAGGAAGCAATCCAGCTTCTTGTATCAAAAGGTTGAAAAACACTGCATTAAATCATCTAATCGGGCTCTTTGCTAATGCAGAATTATGCCATATTGTACCTTATTGTGTCCAATCTAATTTTAATCTGCCATTGTTTGGAATATCTCCAATTTGAGGGACTGATCCACAAGCAAATTAGAGCTATTGTCATTAACCTTTTCCCAATACTCAGAACGCTTTCTCTGAATTGAATGTTATTATGTTTCCTTTCTTGGTTCTCAGATATTTGCAGACTAACTCTGTTCCCTTTTTAGTCCAGTTTTTTATTTATTCTACATTAATATTACTGATTCATATTTATTTTCATTTCTGTAGACTATCATTGAATGCCTTAAATATATTTCCACTGGAGATTTCCCTCCAGGCACCAAAGGAAATTCATTTGTTCATGATCCAAAGGTAGGAGTCATGGTGGCTAGCTAGTATGTCTAACTGATTTTTAGTGAACGCTGTGTGTGCCACTATGGGGGTAATACAATAGGAGTTAATTATTTAAATCGCCCATTTTAATGTAATACAAAAGAAAAATTGAAGAGGAAGAAATTACAAGAAATTAGTTGCCAACCTTAAATTTGGTTGTCTTTCATAAAATTAAAGGTTTCCACATGTTCATGCATAACATCCAAGGGACTAAATTGGTTTATTTGTTTAAATATTTAAAAATGATAAATTCATGTTCGTAACTATATTTAGTTTCAATGTGAGAATATCTATTTCATTGTTTTCTGGCTATATATTATACATTTTAATTGCCAGAAAATACTGACACGAGAATAAGTAGCATGTGACCTGATCACTTTTTATATTGTCTTTTGGTACAAATTTCTGTCAGTTATTTACTTGGTCTTGATAAATTGATGGTTTTAACTGTAACGTTTTGAATATGGGCTATGCTTTCCAAGTTAATGATAAATTAAATACGATTTTATGGTGAGCTAAACTTTCTATATATTCGATTATATTTAATTATGGGTCAAATCTGCAGTAGAGATATCTGCTGTCTGCATGATTAGGTCCAGATTCTATAATGACTTGAAAACTATGAATAGTCCTTTTCACAGAAATAAATGCTTGGTATCAGACTTGGAGGTGGTTATTTTTCTGTTCTGTTTACTTGAGGGAAGATTCTCTGATAACCAGGGCTCGACAAATAATGTAATCTATTCGCCCATGGCTAGTAGATTACAACCCGGAAGAGCCAGCACAGAGCGATCTGCGCATGCGCAGAATGCAGAACCGTGCGAAACCGCGTGGCTGGCAAGTGGGGCTCACTGTCGCTTGCCGAGCCCTACTGATAACTGTTTATCAGATGTGGGTGGGACAATATTTGTGTAAGGATAGCCAAAGTAGAAGGTATTTGTAAGGACTATGGATAGAAACCGTAGACCAAAAAAAAAACCAAAACAAAACAGATTTTGGGTAAAATCCTGGTTTCATTGAAGTCAATGGTAAAACTAATTGGTGTCGTTCAGACAAAATTTTACTTATGGAACATATGCTTGGATGACAGAGGTGATTAATGACTTCCTCGCTTTGGATTTCACCAAGAAGGTTGGTGGCAATTGGACACCTAACATAGTGAATGCTAGTAAGGATGTTAAGTATCAATTCATTTACTAGTCGAGTAGTCAATGGAATTTCCATGAACTGCTCAACTAGTCATTAAGGAAGGGCACTTTAAGTGCTCACTTCTGGCTCAGACTGTCTGAGCATAACTCCCGGCTGCCACTCTACACTGTTAAAGGGACAGAGAGGATCTGGTGTGCAAAGACGCTGGCTCATTCTCTGGTCCTCCCCTCGCCCCCAGGACAATCCTTACGCTGTCCCTCTGCATTTTTAAAAGGGATGCAGCAGCGGCAGCTGCCCCCGTCCCCCATCACTCTCACGCTGCCACTGTGCATTTTTTAAAGGGACACAGCAACGGCAGCCTGTCCGCCTGTCTGTCTCAGCACAGGTCGGCTACCACTTTTAAAAAAAAATGCAGAGGGGCAGCGTGAGGGTTGTCCTGAGACCCGGCGGGGGCCCAGAGAATGAGCCAGCCTTTGCACGCCTGCTCCTCTCTGTCCTTTTAAGAGTGTAGGAGAGAGCGGGGAGAGACTGAGTAGTTGATAGTGCTACCCATAGGCTCCTGCTTATCAGGTAGACGACTACCCGACTACTCCTTCACATCCCTAAATGCCAGTGAAACATAGGGTAGGTTGAGAAGCTAAAACAGGGAAAGAACAAGTTAAAAATTACTTATAAGTTAGATGTCTTCAAGTCACCAGGGCCCAATGAAATGAATCCTAGAATACTCAAGGAGCTGACTGAGGAGATATATGAGCCATTAGCTATTGTGTTTGAAAAGTCATGGAATGTCCAGAAGACTGGAAAAGGACAAATATCATGCCCAGCTATAAGAAGGGAAATAAGGACAACCCAGGAAATTACAGACCAGCCAGTTTAACATGTGAACTGGGAAAGGCAATGGAGCAAGTATGTAAGAAATCAATTTGCAAACATTTAGAAGATAATAACATAAGTAACAGTCGGCATGGAGTTGTAAACAACAAATTGTGCCAAACCAACCTCATAGTTTTCTTTCATAGGATAACAAAATTGGTGGATAAGGGAGAAGTAGTAGATGTATAAGGCTTTGGATACAGTCTCACATGACCTTCTCATTAACAAATTAGAGAAATACAACCTAGGTGGAGCTACTATGATGTAGGGATGTGAATGGTTAAGGGTGATGCTTTCCAGTTCCGGTTCACTGGTGGGGACTGGAGCAACTCCTCTCTCTCTCTCCCC